GGGAACTACCTTATATACCCTTCCAAAACGACGTCGTTTTTGCCTTAAGTGACCCAGAAGATCCGTGCGTTTTACCGAAATCCGACCTGACCCGAGCGTCGACCCGCTTCTTGACTCGGGCGTGTCTTCCCCCCTCCAAGCCGAGGTCCCAAGCCTTTCTCCGAGCCGTTTTCTCTTCCTTGAGCCGAGCCGAGCCGAGCCGTACTCCGAGCCGTACTCCGAGCCGCTCCAGGTTTTTTTTTTGAATTTTTTTTATTTCTTTATTTTATTTTATTTTATTTTTTTTGAAATTTTTTATTTTTTTCATTAGATTAGGTTTATTTAGTATTTTTTTACCTTTATTTTATTTTTTATTTTTGTTTTACTTTTCTTTATTTTTTTTATTTTCACTTTTATTTTGTTTTATTATTTTATTTTCTTTAAATAAAAATCAAAAAAAATATTTTTGGAGAAAAGTTGAAAGTATCAATTTTCCTTGAAAATCAAAGTTTCAAAAAATATTTTTGAGAAAAAGTTGAAAGTATCAATTTTCCTTAAAAATCAAAGTTTCCAAAGAATATTTTTGGGGAAAAGTTGAAAGTATCAATTTTTCTTAAAAATAAATTTTCAAAAAAGGATTTTTGAGGGAAAGTTGAAAGTATCAATTTTCTTTGAAAATCAAAGTTTTCAAAAAAATATTTTTGGGGAAAAGTTGAAAGTATCAATTTTTCTTAAAAATAAATTTTCAAAAAAAATGATTTTTGAGGAAAAGTTGAAAGTATCAATTTTCCTTGAAAATCAGAATTTTCAAAAAAAATATTTTGGAGAAAAGTTGAAAGTATCAATTTTCCTTAAAAATAAAATTTCAAAAAAAGGTCTTGGAGGAAAAGTTGAAAGTATCAATTTTCCTTGAAAATCAAAGTTTCCAAAATTATTTTTGAGGAAAAGTTGAAAGTATCAATTTTCCTTAAAAATCAAAATTTTCAAAAAAAAAATATTTTTGGGGAAAAGTTGAAAGTATCAATTTTCCCCGCATAAGAACAATCATTCTTTTCTTCCTTTTTATTTTGATTTTGATTTTGATTTTTCTTTAAATAATCTGACGACGGAGCCTCTGCAAGTGAAACAGTAGTTTTTCTTGCATACTCTTGAGGTGCGGGAATTTTTTCAATTTTCTGCTAAAAGTATTAGAATCAATTGAGAATAATTTCTAATAATTAATTACTTGGTAAAATTTTAAGGCTCATTAGATATCACAAATTTCGGCTGGTACCATCTTTTGATAGGCGTTATGAAGGTGCTATAACCTTCCTCACACGTAACCGAACTCCTGAACTCTGTTCTAGTTAGTAGAGCTGAACCTATTCTTTTAGGGACCCTTAAACTTAGGTGTTCCTTAAAAGGACAGATTCTTTAGGTGACCAATCACACCTAGATAAAAAAAGATTGGTGACGACTCTCAAAAATCAATATCTAATGATAGATCCCTGGATCTAAACATTATGACACCATTAAACAAATTTTACTATCAAATTAATATGTTCTAAGTAAAATTGTTTTTCTTTTTAATCAAGTAGCGTAAAAAGTAGAGAATATCGGTATTCTTGGTGTGCCAACTGTCAAGGACTGCTTAAGGAAGAAGCGAAGAAGCTGCTCACAATTAAAGCAAGGTCAATTCATAAAAATTATATGTCAACACACGTTCTGCCATTTTTCAAGAAAACACAGCCTAAGCTGTTTTCCATCCATGATTTTTCTCATGATGTTACATTATGCCCCTTAAATATATTGTATTAGAATGGGGTTGCTACACTCCAAGTAATCCAAAATCAGCTACAGTGTGATTATTTTATTTTATATAAAAGAAATGACAGTATAAAAATAAAAATTATAAATATTAAATATTAAATTTATTAGTTATTTTTTAAAAAAATAATAATATATTTTAGATTCAATTGTCTTATGCATTTTAGAATATAAACTACAATTGGCCTACCTAAATTTCACCAATTTTTAATTGGATGACCATATATAATTAATTGATTATAAATTAATTCGGTTGACAGAAACTTTCCTTTTGATTCTATAAATAAAACGGATAGAAGTACATTTTGATATTATTATTTTAATAAAATTGTTACAACTAGAGGTTTATGTAAATATAAATTAAGTGTATAAATGTCAATAAAATTAGCATAAGTGATTAAAATTTAAAATTTAAATATAAAGTATTCAGATTTAAATTTTTATAATTTTTATTAATAAATAATTAATAAGTTCTAAAATTTTTTAAAAATTTATAAACCTCTTTATGAGTTAACAACTTATCTTGATATTAAAAATAAAATAATTTTCTCTATTCTTAAATTTGTTTCAATAAAAAAAATTAACTGCATAAATTCAAAATATAAACAGTGATTTTTTTATAAACAAAGTTGTAGTTTGAAATAAAAAATATTATAAGCATTATTTTTTAAAAATAAATTAATAAATTAATTAAATTAAATTTTGAATTAATATTTTCGTTTAAAAAGAATTTTTTACATCATTGCTTGCATAGATATTTAAATAATTGATTCTCTCTTATTTTCACAGCTATATGTCATTATAAATGAGTGGTTCAAATAGCTCGAAAGCACCTTTTTCTTTCTGACTAATCTTTTTACCATAATATTTTCAAATTATTTTGTTGATACTTTATTAAAACTTTTTATTAATTTGCAAATACCGCAATCCAAGTCTTTGAACAATAAACTTTCCCGTGCTTTCTTTGCCTTGACTTCTTCTTTCCTTAGCTCTTCTTTTTTCTACCTTCTCCATCCAAATCCTCCAAATACCAAAGACTTTGCTTATGCTTCCGTAGTTCACCATTTTCCCTTCGTTCGACCTACCCTTATTGGCAATCGTGAGAAAAATTTTCTCTCAAGTCTCTTGAAACTGTAATTGCTTCTCTCTTTTTCTAGCTTCATGTATGTTTTATTTTCTTGTTTTACAATTTATTTTAAAATAATATATATTTTTCTTGGTATAGTAGTAAAACTTGCTTTAAAGCATGTGATACTTTCCATTTACATGGTAATTGCTAGTTATTAATTTTTTTTTTCTTATTTAATTGATACCTTTCTATGGTGCGTTGGAATTTTTCTAGTTAGCAACATTTCTTATTTACGGTTTTCTTTATCAACTTAGTAGATTGGGTATCATATCATGGCTGAAAGTTTTGCTTCAAGAAGAGGTTTAATTTCTTTAAAGTTCTAAATGTTGCAAAATTTTCTAAAAATGTTTTAAAGAGGTGTTCTGCTTTTGTTGAAGTGAATAAAATGTTAAAATGGAAATCATATGTTTGTAAAAAGATTTAAAACTGATAATCAATTAGGTGACTCTACTCATTAGAAGTGACATGTGAGCTAAAAGAACAATGGCACCTGCAATGACATAGAAGAGGAGGAGAGAGAGGAGAAGGGAGCGATTTGGTCTCACGTCTCATGGCTTCACTCACGGACATGCGGCGACTCTTTCTGTACCGATGTTGTATTCGTGTTCGACATGAACACACCGTCGATACAGTAAAATACATACATACCAAGCTAGGACATGATAAAAAAAAAAATCTAGTTCCACACCATCTCAACAGATTTTTTTAGATCTAGGATTTTCCAGGTTTTTTTTTTTTTTTTTTTTTTGAAAATCTTGTTAGATAAGAAGAAAGAAAAAGGTTAGATGAATTTACTGATAATTTTTAAATAAATTTTCAATTATCGATGGGCAACGACCGATAGTGGTGATGATGACAGAGGGGTTGTCAAAAACCAGTAGGAGCTAGGGAAAGAAAACAGGAAAAAAAATGCAAAAAAGAAAGAATAGAAAGAAAAGAAAAAGAAAAATAAAGGATAGTGTGGGTCTCTTATGGGTGGGGAAGGCATGTTTAAGTAGACCAAACATGATTTTTGGCTTTTCTTTATACACCAAAAAGTAAAAAGAAAAAAAGAAATTGGAAAGCAATATAACTTGTCGCACTTCTTAAAAAAATTAAATGCAGTATTTCGTTGTTTGAGCTATATTGTTATTTCATCATTTTGAAATAGTTAATATCTTGCATGAATTTAAAAATAAATTTTTTCTTATATAATTAAGAATATTTTTTATATTATAAAATATAAATTTAAATTGAAAAAAAAATGAAAAATGAAAAATTGATATTTACATATACATTGAGTATTTTAACATAAAAATATATAAAATTTTTTTTATTATGGTGCCTTATCATATCCATGTCTTTTTTTTTTTAATTATTATATTATCTTATTCGTGTCTGTGTGGCATCGTATCTTTATTGCATGTTCGTGTTTTTGTTTTAAAGGGTATAATATGTCATAATACTAAAGTTGTTGCCCATTATAGGGAAAGGAAAAAACCTAAACAAAATACAATATGCAAAAAGAGAAATCAATTATACTTTATTTTAGTATATTAAACCTTATACCTAGTTACTTATAAAAATTTAGAAATCAATAAATCTTGCAATGAAGCACGAGAGCAAATGAATTAGTAACAATAAAACTTGGTTTCCTTATAACAATAAAATGTTTTTGTTTTTTAATACTTATAAATTTATTTTATAATATATATTTCATCCATATTTGGCTATGTTGTCCATTTGCATGGTACTTCCATATTGTTAACGCAAGTAGGTCTAGTTATTGTGTTATTTTGTAATACTTGTTGAACATATATTTTGCTTCATGCTTTGAGTACCTATCTTTGACTATTATGCTTCAATTTCTAGTTTATATTAGGTATTATTACAACCAGAAGAATAGCTGTTGGCAATACGATCTTCTGAGTTTCAAGAATTAACTTGGAAAAGTTTTAGGGTCCATTATGGCAGGAGATTTTGGAGTTAACGGCAGAATTTCCTTTAGGTGAAAAGTTCCTTTTTCCTCATTATCAGGTTCTTGTTACTGCTTTATTTTGTAAGCCTACTAAACTTTAATTTTGCCTCATCTTTTATATACCTGTCTTTGACTATTACGTGTAAATTTCTAATTTATATCAGGTATTATTGCAACGACTGTTGGCAACACAATCTTTTGAGTTTTCGAACTTTAACTGGAAAGAGTTTTAGGGTTCATTATAGCAGGAGATTTAAGAGATAACGACAGAACTTCTTTCGTGTGAGAAGCTTTTTTCCTCCTCATCAAGTTCTTGTTACTGTTTTATTTTGTAATGCTTGCTGAACATATATTTTGCTTTATGCTTTGAATACTTATATCTGACTATTACGTTTAAATTTTTAGCATGCATCAGGTATCATTGCTACAAGAAAAGGAGCTGTTGGACTACAATCTTTTAAGTTTTCGGACTTAACTCGTGTAGCAAGAAATTTAGGAGTTAAAGGCAAGATTTCTTTTGTTTGAAAAGCTATTTTTCCTCTTCATCAGGTTCTTCTTCTCTCTTTCTTTTTGGTTCTTCTCGATTTGAATTGAAGAATTTTATTTTAGTTTGCTATATATTTTTATTTAGAATTCACAATGAGACAATGACTGAAGGGTTGGATTTGTGAGACAGAAGAAATTAAAATCATTTTGTTGATATTAGTATTTGAGTCATGGAATTGATGATTAGTTTAGTCCCTTATATCTTTTTAAGGTTGGAGAACTAGACTACTAGAGAGTGACCTTTAAGGAGAAGAGTATTTATGAGCTTATTATAAATATTGATGCTAACTTTATTAACACTTCCAAATCTCTTCACTTTGGATAAGTTAATTTTGAGCCTAAAAAATCAGCATGAGAATCATATCAAACACATTTATTTTGAAGAAATAAAACTCACTGGATAGAATTTTTACCCATGAAATGGAGAAACGATAACTATCGATCCTAATGTGACTCATGATATCCAAATCTTCTTGCTTCAAAATCATTAAAGATCAGAATAATCACTTTTCTCATCTATATTGAGAAATTCTCTTTTCTATTAGTAAGCAATATTATAATTATTAAACCAATGATGATTATATCTCTTATAAGGTGTGAATATGTGAGTTTGACCACTAAATATCAATAAAGTAATTATCAAGAATTTTTTGATTAGGTATGATTGATTATTTAAATAAATTTATTTTTTTCAAATGATTTTTAAGTTTGACTAAAAAATCTTAAAAGAATAGATTTTGATTTGCATTACAGAATTAAGTTTATAGGAATGGTATTAACATTCTAACAATGACCATTCAAAGGATGATATCAATTAATATTATATTATCTTTAATAGCCTTTATTAAATTGGTCTCTATTCTTAATGTTTTTCATTACTTTATTTATTATTTAAATATAAAATTTTTTTATGTTTTTTCCAATACTTTGATCAAACCTCTAAATAATTTTTTCACTTCAATAGTTTTCAAGAAAATACGTCCCTTTTTTTCTTCAAAAAGCTTTGTCATTAGAGTAATTAAATATTTTACACAAATAATTCATTTTTATTTTTAAAACATTTAAAATTAATTTTAATAAATTTCTTTAATTTTGTTATTTTGGAAATAAAGTGAAAATCTTTGATATTCTAATTTTTTAAATTGTTTACTCACATAAAAAATTTTAAGAAAATTTCATGCTCACAAATTTCTTAAAATTTCATAATCAGTCAAATTCTCCACTTATTCCAAAATTTATTAAGCATTATATGATAAAATACATTTACAATTATCTATTACATTCTTAACTCTTCTATCCCTTTTTTACTTTATCAATTAATTTTCTATCAATTTAATTTTTTTATTTTTAGTTTTAGAAATAAATTAAAATTCTTTTGTTGATTGCTTTTCTATCAATTTAATATTCATAATATTAAAATTCTAAATTTGTAATAGAAATAAATGATTTTTATTTATAACTAATCTATATGACAAGATTTTACATCACATGCTAGACATGAGTTTACATTGCAAAAATTATCCCCGCCTTTAACAAGAAAATAAGTCCTAATTATAACTAAATGGTATACATTACGCATTCTGAAGACTACATGATATTTCATCTTGGAGGATATGTCACTTGCACATAATTTAATAAGAGGTCTAAGATGTCTAAAGATTTTAGGACTTATACCTCTGCAGATTTTCCTAATACAAGATCCAATATGACAACTATAGGTCTAGGCTTTTGAGTTGGGTTTAGTGTAGTTGTGTTTAATCTTGACTAAAACTTCCTGGGTTAAGACTAAGCTTTAGCTAGATTAAGCCTTTTGAAAGAATTTTAGCCCTTTGAAAGAATTTTAGTTTGATGTGGATTATTCGAACAAAATTTTGGTGTTAGGACTCTTTAGAGTGTTTTGGTGAAATAGTAACTTTTAAGGTTGAGTTTTGGTTGGACTAAGACTCTTTGAGTAAAGTTTTGATTTGATTGGACTTTTTAGATAGAGTTTTGGATGGACTTTGATCATTTAGACAGAGTTTTGGTTGGATTTGGAGAGATGATATACCTGAGATGATGTGGTTGGATGATATGCCTAGTGATGTGGCAAGTGATGTGGATTTAGGTGACAAGGCAAGGTGATGTGGTGAGTGACAGTAGGGTATGCTTAGTGACAGATTAGGTTATTCAAGGTTTTCACAAAAAGTTAGACAGATGTTTGTAATTAGTTGGAAGCTTTGACCTAGGCTTGAGACTACTCCAGTGGTTGTGGATAGATAAGGAAGGTGTTTTGGAGGTTTAAAATGAGAGAGATGATGAGATTTCCTCTAGATTTTAAGAAAAATTTTGGAAAAGGTTTAGAATGGACTTTCTCAAAGAGGGACAAGAGAATTGCTTGAGGTGTGTTAAATGAATATTTGGAAGCTTTAGGCTTAGAATTCATTTGTGAAATAAGTTATGCGAGAATTTATATTTGAACAATTGCAAACAAAATTAAGGGAACTAAAGATTTATTGCCTATAACATTAAAATGCAAACTTTAAAAAATATGGAATGTTCCTACAAATTGAAAGTTTGAGATGACAATCCATACCCTTAAATTTCATAATGGAAATTTAATCTACATCAAAGCAAATTTCCTTTTTTTATAAGTTCCTTGAGTGAAGGGGCAACTATTAATTTGTGCTTAAATCTTTTTGTTGTTTCTCATGTCATAATTGCATTTATCATTTGGGTCATAATTCCTTACTGATGGATTTAAAGCATTTTTCAAAGGCATAGGGTAAGGTATTGATGTTTTACTAGTAAAGGTAAAAGATTAGGAATTGGAATTGAAAATTTTTCTTGAATGTTTCTTTGTCATCTTCAGTTGCTGACTGGTTGGATAATAAATTAACAGACAAGAGTAAGTGCAATTGTTTGAAGGCAAGGGTTTACTTGAAAGGTTAATTGTGAGATTGGTTGATAAAGATAAGGACTTTTGGAAGATGTTATTTATGGTTAGATAGTAAAATTGGTTTATTTGGTACGAATGGCGTAGAGTAAAAGCCTACTACCCTTGCCCTTCACAAATCATTGATTGAGCATCTCTTTCTTTTTAGACGTAACACCTTTATTTGCTTCATCTCTTTCAAGTTTTTCACTCTTAATTGCATTTTATATCATCTCTTTGGATATTATTATATCAGTAGAACTAGTTTATATTACCTTTAATAGCCTTAGTTAAAATAATATCTATAATTAACATTTTTCCTTAGTTTTTTCTTATTATTTTACTATTTAAATATTTGAAATTTTTTATAGACTTTTTCTAACACTTTGGTTGAATCCTTAAAAAAAATTTTCATCACAAGAGTATTCAAAAAACATTCTTGTTTTCTTAAAAAAGTTTCAACAATCTATTAATTAAATATTTTTATAAATAATTTTGAAAAGAAAATTGAGTCGTAGAATTGATGATCGGTATAATCCCTTATATCCTTTTAAGGTTGGAGAACTAGACTACTAGAGTGACCTTTAAGGAGAACAATATTCATGAACTTATTATAAATATTGATGCTAACCTTATTAACACTTCCAAATCTCTTCACTTCGGATAAGTTAATTTTGAAACTGAAAAATTAGCATGAAAATCATAACAAATACATTTATTTTGAAGAAATAAAAGTCATTGGGTAGAATTTTTACCCATGAAATGGAGAAACGATAACTATTGACCCCGATGTGATTCATGAGATCCAAATCTTCTTGTTTCAAAATCATTTAAGATTGGAATAATCACTTTTTCCATCTTTTGTATTGAGAAATTCTCTTTTCTATTAGTAAGTAATATTATAATTATTAAACCAAATGATAATTTTATCTTTTATAACATGTGAATCTGTGAATTTAACCACTAAATATTAATAAAGAAATTATCATGAATTTTTTGCTTAAATGTGATTGGTTAATTAAATAAATCTATCCTTTTAAAATAGTTTTAAGCTTGATTAAATGACTTTAAAAAGGTAGGTTTTGATTTATGTTACAGAACTAAGTTTATAAGGATGGTATTAACATCCTCACAGTGTCCATTCAAAGGATGATATCAATTAATTTTATATTATCTTTAATAATCTTAATTAAAATGATTTCTATTCTTAATATTTTTCATTATTTTTTTATTATTTAAATGTAAAAATTTTTATTAGGTTTTCTCCAACACTTTAATCGAACCTCTAAATAATTTTTTCACTTCAATAGTTTTCAAGAAAAGACGTTCGTTTTTTTAAAGGGTTTCGATATTCAATTAATTATTTTATAAAAATAATTTATTTTTTAAAAACAAGTTAAATTAATTTTAACAATTTCCTTTAATTTTATTGTTATGGAAATAAGTTGGAAATTTTTTATTTTCTAATTTTTTTTAATTCGTTAACATTATGGTGAAATTTAGAAAAGTTTACTCACATAGAAAATTTTTTAAAAAATTCATGCTCATAAATTTCTTAAAATTCAATAATCAGTCAAATTCGCTACTTATTCCCAAATATATTAAACATTATGTGATAAAATACATTTATAATTATCTATTACATTCTTAACTCTTTTATCCTTTTTTATTTTATCAATTAATTTTCTATCAATTTAATTTTTAGAAATAAATGAAAATTCTTTTGTTGATTAATTTTTTATCAAATTAATTTTTTCATTTATATTTTTAAAAATAAATGAAAAATCATAATATTGAAATAATTTTTTAAATTCTACAATATTTTGGTGAAATTTAGAAAAATTCTCACTTAAAAATTTTTTAGAAAATTGCTCACCCTTGAATTTCTTAAAATTTCATTATTAGATTAAATGATGTGTCTATAATTGCTAGTTTTATTTTTTTTCACCATAAGAGTATGCAAAAAAAATGCTTGTTTCGTTAAAGTAGTTTGTCATTGAATTAATTAAATTTTTTTAGAAATAATTATTTTATTTTAAAACTATTAAAAATAATATTAATTTATATTTAACATTATTTAATCTTATGAAAATAAAATTTTAAAATTTTATTTTTGTCAAAAAATTAAAATATATATTTAAAAATTAAAATTTCAATATGCATAAAAATAAATAAGTAACAAAAAAATAACAAAAAAAAAAAATAAAAGAACTACATGAATTGCTTATTCGGCTTAGTTAACGGCTTAATTGGCTTGTTACACAACTCGGGTTACATATGATCCAAGTCTCTCTAGGTTGAGGCGTGGGTTGTCATGAGTTGGGCACCTCTTAAATGACTCAATTCAACATTTAGTATGGATAGTAAAAAGCAAAAAATTTTGTCAATTCATCAATATTTTTTCTCTTTTCTCTTTATTTTCTGTTTTTATCTCTCTAAAGCTCTCTTTTTTCAAGGGCAATAAAAATAGGACGTCAGAAAACTCAAAGTTTTTATAGATTTCGGCATCGAAAACTTCAATAGTTTGCAACTTTCGACCATAGTATAAATGTTTGGTGTTAAAAAATTCAATCAATCACCAAAAATGTTAAAAAATACCCCAAAATCATAAAACCCAAAACAAGTCATTGAAAACTTGATTGGTGCCGTTGTCCGCCATTGTACGCTAGTGATAAAATTTCCCAAAAATCCTCTCTTGATTTCTTATGATCTCCTCTTTCCTTATTTTAAGTTAGATTTTACAAAATATTTATCCAAAAGTCTAAATCTGTAACCCAAAATAGGCCTCCAAAAAACCTTTCCTTTTCTTTTTATTAACTTAGAAACCCTAAAAAAACCCTAAAAATTAATCAAATCTAAAACTCTAAACACTTGGTGACTGAAAATGTTTTGCCCTATTTCTTTTGCTAATTGTTTGTTTCTTTTGATGATTCTTATTGTTTTGTGTTCATTATCCATATTGTGATTGCTTGTCATTTGTTTAAATATGGAACTAGTCTTCTTTGAAGTGGAATTCCAGGTTAGAAAAAAATTGCTCCAGAAAATACTTTGCACTTTCATCTCAATCTCGAAAATTTAATCATTATAGGAATTTAATTTGATTCTTTTCCTTTAGGATATTTCTTTAAAAATTTTATGATTTATATACTTTTGTTTATCCAGATTTTCATAATTATTTTTTTTATTTTTTATTTTTTTGTATTTATTTTATTTTTATTTTTGTTTCGATTGTTTAAAAATAATAAAATATATAAAAAATTTGATAAAAGAAGTAAGAGGGGAAATAAAATAAAATGGTTTATCATAAGAAGGGAGAATGGGCTATGGGTTAGCCCTATTAATCGACTAAAACCCAAAATTAATAATTAGAGACAAATAATAATTCAAACTCAAATTAATTAGTTTATAGTCCAATTAAAAGTTAGACAAAACCTTCTAAAATTTAAAATTTCAGATTAAATGGGATACTTACAATATTTGATAATAGAATGTTATAAAAAGTGGTTTTTCTTTTTAGATTTCAGAGTTCCGATTTGTTTGTTGTATGCTGGTAGATCAAAATTTTTACCATTTTAATGATTTTTAAAATTTGCTTGATAAAAAAAATTTTCTGATATATGGTCTACCTTTTTTTTTATCAGCCAATTGCTAGTAGAAATGGATTTACCCTTATGTCAAATCAACACAGATACATTTACTTTAAGAAAAACAAAGTTGGAATTTGGTACAGGGTGGTTTTTTATAGTTGCCAATTTTATGTTTTTGATTAAATTTTATCATTTAATTAAATTTTAAAACGTGTTTTGATATAATTTTTTTCCAAAAATTTGAGAAGAGTAATTTATTAAATAAAGTGATTAAAATTTTAATTTGTAAGAAGATATGAGTTCAAATCTTATCAACAATAATTTTTTTTTTAATTTTCAAACATCATATTTTTAACTTTACCGAGCATTATAATCGAATAGATGAATAGTACTTAATAATGTTGAAAGTATTTTCAAAATATTAGAAATATTTTTTTGGTATTTTGAATAGTTTTCAAAATTTTTTAAAATTTTATTTTTGGTTTTTAAAAACAACTTGCAAGTTGCAAATTACGGTTTTGGTTTTAATTTAAGATAAATATAGAAAAAAAATACATACATTGTCTAACTTTTTTGATATTCCAATTTTCATCTGTAGACAAACAAATAATCTGATTGGAATAATAATAAAAACTTAAAGGCAAACGACACAACGGCGCAAAATTTAGGAATCCAACCATCATAGGATTAGGCAAATCATTAGTATGGGTGATGTACTTATGTCAACATCCAACAATTTAATCAATTTATAAAAAAGATATTAAAATGTTTAGAAGGTATATTAAAATATATTGAATAAAATGATAACAAAAAAAAAAAAAAACCATAAACCCAGGTATACTTGTGGAACATGTACTCTTAACAGAATAGACTTACCATATCAATGAGAAGGAATTATTAGCATAAAAAAAAATCAATTAATGCTTTTGAATTATATATTGTACACACAATTAAAAAAACTAGAACTTACAGAATTAAATATGAATACAGAACAAAAACCAAGCATAGGATACATTAGTCACGAATGTCACCAAAAAATAAATAATCTAAAATTTGCCTAGCCTTTGTTGATTTTTTCTCGCAGAACCATGTGAACTTTAACAACTCACTAATAAAATAATCTTATTAAGGAGTCCATTAACTTTCTTAATTAGTAATGGGAGTATTAGAAAAAATTACCGCGGAGATATAAGCCACATAGAAATATACCAAGATCAGATTCAGTACTGGTGTGGTTGTTGGTTGTGTTCTACTTCTAGTTCAAATCTTTTTCAGTTTATCCCTATATCATTTTTACACATAGTCTTTCTGTTTCTGCAGGTCAAAAGCCATGTCCGTCGTTGAAGCTGCTTTATCTGTGTTCTTTGAAGGGTTGTTTAGTAATTTGGCCTCTTCGGAATTTCTCAACATTGTAACTGAGAAGGAAGTTTGCGGGGAGCTCAACAAGTTGGAAAAGACATTGCGCAATATTCATGCAGTGCTACATGATGCCGAGGAGAAGGAAATGAATGATGGGCACGTGAAGAGTTGGCTGGGCCAGCTCCAAGACTTGGCATACGATGTGGATGACATATTGGATAAGTTTGCTACTGAAGCTTTGAGACTCAAGTTAACGAGGGAACATCAAGAACACCGCCCAAGGAAGTTACAAAAGCTTGTTGATGCTTGCTTTACCTGGTTCAGGGGTCATAATTTATCATTTAATAAGGAAATGATGTCCGAGATAAAAGAGATCACTGCTAGATTTCAAGATTTAGAAGCAGATATAAGTCTCTTGGCTTTGACGAAAAATGGTGGTGGGAGGCCCAAGAGAACATCGGAATGGCGATCAACCACTTGTTTGGTGAATGAAACTCAAGTCTACGGTCGGGAAAAAGACAAGGAAACAATCCTTGACTTGATTTTTGGGAGTGATGATAGCAATAAATTTTCTGTGATTCCCATCATTGGCAAAGGAGGGATTGGCAAAACAACGCTTGCTCAGCTTGTCTACAATGATAGTCGTGTAGTTAAGCATTTTGATTTTCAAGCATGGGTATGCGTTTCTGACGACTTTAAGATGGAGGAGATAACGAAATCAATTTTGCAATCAGTTAGTCCTGAATCTTTTAATGTTAGAGATGATTTGAATAACCTTCAAATAAAATTGAAGAGGGAGCTGGAGGGAAAGAAACTACTTCTGATTTTGGATGATCTTTGGCATGAAAACTATGATGATTGGACTCGTGTGATGTCCCCTTTTGGCATAGGAGCTACGATTGTTGTGACAACACGTGGTCAAAGGGTTTCGTTAATGGTGGGTACTATCCCAGGTTACAAGCTGCCAGAGTTGTCAGATGGTGATTGCTGTTCTATATTAACTCAACATGCATTTGGAGCAAAAGATTTTAGTCAGCATCCGAACTTCGAAGAATTTGGTGTACAAATTGCGAAAAGGTGCAAGGGTTTGCCTTTGGCAGCTAAGACCATCGGAGGCCTTTTGCGCAATGAGGTGGAAATTGGTAAATGGGAAGAGATACTAGGAAGTGAGATTTGGAATTTATCAGAAGAGAGGAGTAACATAATTCCAGCTTTACGATTAAGCTATCATCATCTTCCCGCAGATCTGAAGCGATGTTTTGCTTACTGTGCCGTACTCCCCAAAGACTATGAATTTACCGAGGAAGAAATTGTCTTATTGTGGATGGCAGAAGGCTTTCTGCGAGTGGAAGCTACAAAGAAAAAGGAAGATTTGGGTCATGAGTACTTACAAGAACTTGTACGGAGGTCATTTTTTGATATATCCAACAAGGATGAGTCTCGATATATAATGCATGATGTGATTAACGATTTGGCTCAATCAGTTGCCAAAGATATATGCTTCAGAGTGGAGGGTGACAAGGCATTGAACGTTTCCAGTCATGCCCGCCATTCATCTTACATTGGTGGTGGGAAAGACAGATTTAAAAATTTCCAAGTCTTCAAAGGAAAGAAGGGTTTAAGAACCTTCCTACTGTTGAAGATGCCTGAATGGTGGTCGAATTTCTATAATCAAGTTCTCAGTGATTTGTTGCCAGAATTTAAACACTTAAGGGTGTTATCTTTACAAGGGCGCTACCTGATGGAGGTTCCCAATATTATTGGAGATTTGGTGCATCTGCGTTATCTAAATTTTTCTGGCACTAAAATCAAAACTCTACCGGATTCAATATGCAAGCTTTACAAGTTAGAGACCTTGCTGTTGCCGGGGTGCTATTTGCTTGAAGAGTTTCCTTCTGAAATGAGATTTTTAATTAACCTAACGCATCTTGACATTACAGGTGCAGATTCAATAGAAATGATGCCAATGGGATTCAGTGAACTAACCAATCTCCAAACATTGACAAATTTTGTTGTGAGTCAAAACACTGGCCGTCAGATAAGGGAGATGGGAACTTTGTCTAATCTTAAGGGTAGACTTGTTATTTCAGAATTGCAGAATGTTGTCCAAGCTCAAGATGCATGGGTGGCTGGGTTATGTTATAAGTCGAACCTTCGTGATTTGGCTTTGGAGTGGAGTTATAATTCTGCAGGAGAAGAAAGTCACAAGGACGTGTTGGATTCACTCCAACCTCCTAAAATGCTTGCAAGGCTCACCATCAAATATTATGGAGGTGAAACATTCCCAAATTGGATTGGAGATCCTTCATTTGAAAACCTATCGATTCTGGATCTGGATTACTGTCCAAATTGCACATTATTACCAGCTGTTGGAAGATTACCGTCGCTAAAATCGCTTTCTATGCGGTGGATGAGTAAGGTAAAAAATGTGGGTGCTAATTTTTTTGGAAAGGATCTGTCGATTAACGCATTTCCCTCACTAGAGAGATTACATTTTGAGCACATGCCAGAATGGGAGGAATGGGATCCCTGTGAAGTTGATGAAAATGTAAGGAGTTTGCAACACCTCCAGGAGCTCATCATTCAAGGTTGCCCCAAGTTGTTAGGAAGTTTACCTAATCGTCTTCCTTCCTTGAAGAAGCTAGAGATTATTGGGTGTAAAAAACTGAGAAGTTTACCTAATTGTCTTCCTTCATTGAAGAAGCTAGTGATTTGGTGGTGTTACCAACTGAGAAATCTACCTAGTTGTCTTCCTTCATTGGAGGAACTTGTGATTCAAGAATGTGAGCAGTTGGTAGTTTCACTATCAAGCCTTCCAAAGTTGTCTGACTTAATAATTTATGGGTGCCAAGAGGTGGCGTCTACAAATTGTACAAATTCTGGCTCATTCATGAAAAGTGTCTCTCTTTCAGACATTTCAAAATTCACTTCTCCAATGGAGGGGTTGATAAAAGCAGAACGTCTTTGTATAAGTGGATGCCAGGAGCTGATTTCTTCATGGCAGAACGAGGAAGGACCCTCAACACATTTGAGGCCTATTCGCTTTTTGGAAATTGACAATTGTTCAAGACTTGTTTCCATAGGGGCAGAGGACGAAAAGGAAGAGCATATGCAGTTAGGAATCCCTTGCAATATTGAAGATTTGAGCGTAAAATATTGTGAAAGGCTAGAAAGGCTATCAGAAAGTCTACACAGCTACAGATCCCTTACGGTGCTACGAATTGAAAGATGCCCAGGATTGATTTCAATTTCAAATGGGCACTTGCGTCCAAATCTAAGACGTTTAACCATTAGAGTGTGTGAGAGTTTGCAGTATTTGCTGGATGGAGTAAATAACAACATCAAAAGCACGCCTCTTCTAGAGCACCTGGATATTAAAAATTGTAAGTCTCTGATATCTTTATCCTCAAGGGGCGAGTTACCTATTAGGGTTCAACATGTTGACATTTATGATTGTAAAAAGTTGACATCCTTGTCATCCAATGGCAAGTTACCTATGGGGCTTAGAAACCTCGATATTGGTAGTTGCGGAGCAGTAGAGTCCATAGCTCAAGAAATTGAAGAGAACTCTTCCCTTGAATTGATAACTATCCGCAGTTGTGATAATTTGAGATCTTTGCCTCGTGTATTAACCAAGCTCAGAAAGCTTAGCCTTTCTCAGTGTGAAAAACTCCATGCCTTACCTAACTGCATCCACAACACTGTCTCGATGCGAGAATTGTTCATATATAATTGTCCAAGTGTGATATCATTTCCAGAGGAGGGGTTCCCTCCCAATCTCACTTCACTTGCAATCTCGCAACCCAATATTTGCAAGTCAGTGATCGAGCGGGGTTTGCACAAACTCACCTCCCTTAAACATTTGTGCATCGACGGTGCTTCTCTTGATGTGGTGTCATTCCCATGTGAGGATATGCTTCTGCCCCTCACTCTCACCTTCCTCTCCATCTACGGTTTTCCAAACCTAGAAACTCTATCCTCCAAGGGCTTTCAAAATCTTAAATTTCTTGAATCGTTGGAAATAAAAAACTGCCCCGGTCTCAAATTCCAACCGGAAAAGGAGATGTTTGACTCACTTTTTCAACTTCATATTGCTGACTGTCCGTTGCTAAGAGAACGATGCAGGAAGGATGAAGGACAAGAGTGGCCCAAAATAGCCCACATACCTTGCATTGATATTTTTTAATTTGTTACCGGAAGAAACGCCCAGAAATCAGGTATATGTCACTTTGCAATTATATGCTACTTATTTGAAGAACATTAAGGCACTATTAAATCAAGTGCTCAAGTGATTTATATTCTTGATTTTTTTTTTTATATTTCATAATAAAATGTTCATTAGTTCAATCCATTACATACATAGCTTTTTGTTTAACAATGAAATGGAAAATATATATAAAAAATCTATTTTTAATAAAAATACATGGACTAAATTCATTAAAATTGAAGTTGGACTAAACCGATAGGATTGAGGTAGTAAAGGAATCAAATTCAGACTTTGACCTTTTAAGTTTAACCGTTGATAAAATCCTGCTTGTTAAATTGGGGACAGGTATTTTTGAAGCTCATTTGTTAGAAACGGATGAATCTCTTTTATGCAAAACTTTTAATTGTAGTGTAATCTATATTTGCAGAATTGAGAAAGAGGTTCTTCCTTCCATCTTGGAATATAATGGTTTAATTTAAAAGTTATTGTAACTTGCAGATGGTCCTCTCCAAGTTTGATACACAGATTCAATGTTTTCCTACCATTTGAAAAGAAAATTTCAGAATAGTTTCAGAATGAGTAGGTCCTATAGCTGATTTCTATATATATTTTTATCTTGTGTTCATGAATCATTCATGATATCCTTATGTCTTTGGCTGTTCTTTATGTGTATTTCCTTTCTGCCTTGCCTATGATTGATCACAGAAAAGACTGAGTAAGTATGGCATTGGATTGTTTACTAAAAGTTAGAAAATTTAGAAACTTCTTTTTTGTAATCTATGAAACATATTTCTTTCAGTCGTTTGGTAAAAATTCCCTATAGGACAATTTCAAGAACGGGACAGATGTGTTAAATGTTTATATCTATTAATCATTTTGTTTCATTGACTTCTGAGTTTTTTTTTTTTTGCAGAATCATTCAAGAATGGTTTCAATTATTAAATGTTTGTTATCTTCTTATATGCGTGAAGATTAATTTGATATCTAATTTTGGCTTCAGTCAGTTGGAAGTTGCAGAGGCTAGTGAGTAGTGCCTTCATAGGAGCACACAAAGTGGTTCGCAAAAGCAGATGGAAAGACCTGAAAAAGAAGAATGCTGTTTACTTAGCTGAAGTATGCATTGCCTTCACTGCGGTCAAATTGACCATATGGCAGCCTGAATGGGTCAATACCAAAATCTCTGCCTCAATTCCATTGAGAACTCAATTTCTGATGAATGATGAGATATTAAAGATTTATTGCCGGCAATAGCAGTGAGGACTGAGGAGTGACGACAGTGTCAGTGGCGCTAAAATTCCCCCATGGGAAACATTGTTTCCTATGAAAGAGGTAATCTTACTACTATACACAGGCTGCAAAGAAAAAATAGTTATTTAAGCAAAATCAATTATATTTTATGTTTAATGTACCATATTTATGTCTTTTAAACTGAATAAGGTGCTCTTCCAGAACCAGCAATAAGTGCCTTGAACATTCCATATCCGTGAATCATGTTCCACCATCCATAATCCATATGTTATACTCTTGAGTATATAGATTCCTTGTTTATGATCAGAAGCCATATATTATAAGAAATCATCGTACTTAGCATAATGAAAACTTCCAGCCTTGTTAGGATTACTTTCTCCTTTTTTTTTTCTCCCCTTTTTGGTGCTACCATTTTTTATCCCAAATGCTTCAAAACAAAACTCTGATGTTGTGGAACTTGTTTGACAGGACGAAAGAACTTCAATTCATTGGTGGTTTCCAAGTTGTTCTGGCAGCAGCTCCTTTCCTACAACAGAAATCTTTGCTCCTCCGTGTCAGGGGTGCAAGCAGAAATGATAAGATAGCGTAAGAACTGCATCAAGCAGGTAAAATTAGCTGAGCTGGGAACGTGTGTAAAAGCCAAATTGATATTCTAAATGTAAGTATTAAAATTCTTTATAATATTATTCTGTTGTGCAATAATGTTGGAAGTTTCATTCCACTGTAGCTCAATTCTTCATATAGATGCATAACATATCCTTTCCATAAAGCATTGATCAACAGCCCTTGTTTTTCCGATGATTGTATCTTTCAGCTCGGTGTAGCCACAAGTTAAAATCTTTGCCTGGATTGAGCTTTTGAAGAATCTGAGGTTGTATGATAAACAATGTAAAGCAGCACAGCTTCATGTCGTTTTCTTTTATAGTTGCTTTGAAAACTGTTTGCCTTTATGTATGAAGTTTTAACTATTTATAATAGTGACTACACATTTTGATATGCTTCTTAGATCTTTATAAGCATTCTGGCTCGGCATAAAGAAACATCTACGTCGATTGAGACAAAGTGCTTCAGCTGCTGAGCTGGAGTATTGGTTTGAGTGTTGGAAAAATTACCTCAGCTTTGATACCACTTTTTAGGCTAAAAAGCTTCAATCCAATCATATCAGTAGAAGTATAATCAAATAATGAATCAAACAGAGATAATAATTTAACGTGATTCAGTTTAATTAATTTACATTCACGAATGAAAAATAAGATTTACTAATTGTAAAAAATTATAAACATACAAATCAAATTTTTAATCTCACTCAGCAATCAATACTCATAAGATATTTTCAATTTCCTTTGATCTTATGAAGTATTATCAACTTAAATAAACACATATTCATGTGTATCTTTTTAACAAAATCAAATACATATCTATATGTACTCATACATCATATTTATGTGGATCTTTTCAGTCTTTTTTAGTCCACTCACAAATAAACATACATATTTATAAGACGTAAAGTCCTAATATTTATTTGGGGTGTCTTTTTCACAAAATCCTATAACTCTCTTACATATTTTTCTTATACTTAACCCTGTAAAGACTTCACTTATTTATAATCATACAAATTTGCTTATTAAAAATCTATTTTCTCTTAAAATTCTTCTCTTGCAAGTCAAACTTACCGATTAAAAATTTTTTCTCTTAAAATTTTTTTTTTGCAAGTTTTATTATCAATCAAACAATATCTGATCAATCTAAAAAAAATCTATTATAGGATTTAAGTCATTATTCTCAAGAGGAGCTCATTTCAATCATCAAATCAGGGGTGTGTCTTGTCTTGACATGAAAGAACACAAACTCAAGCATCCATTTATTCTGCAGAAGCTTATAAATAACTATTCTCAATTTATTCTGCAGAATTTCAGCTCAATTTCAAGTGAAAGGAGCTTGCGAAAAAGGCCTGTTTCCAAAGGAGTCTAAATTGAATCAGAATGCTACTCCGATAACTGTCTCATATATTATGCAAACCCTCAATAATACTTCCTTCAAAATGAACGCAAAAACATCAAAGCTTATTTTAGGCAATTTTTGGAGCTTGAATTTCTAATGCAACCCATAATTATTGCTATGTTCAAACAACTGAACTCGGGATATCAGTATTTGTCAACTGGCCACAGTGGATCACAATTCTAGCATGTATCATGCTTTTATGGAGGAAGACCATCCCTTACTAGCTTAAACTTTTCCCATTGTATCATGCTTTTATGGAGGAAGACCAAATGACCTCTCAAGACAACCATAGTTAGTAGACGCTGCATAAAACAGATGGACTCAATCATTTTCTAATTAAATATCATTTTGATTATAACAATACAATCATTCCCCAAGATTGGATTTTATCATTTTGTCAAAGTGAATGCATATAATCTATCAATTAAATTATAAAGTGATAATACACAAACACAAGTACAAACCTCTCTTCCATAAGCCATATATATTCAAATATATAATTAAGATTAATATAATTAATGTAATTAATTTTTTCGCTAGAAAACATATATTATTTTTATGTAAATAATTGAATTTGAATATTTTTATAACTTATCAATTTCTATCAGTCATCTTTGGGATTCATATTTAAGAGTGATTAAAACTTTAGTATGTTTATTATATTGTATTAATTACTATTTTTTTGGTATAAAATTAGCATAATTAAGTCTTGCATATTTATTTAATCGAATTCTATAATTTTAAAAAAGCAAAATTATTTTTAAGTGAAAAATATGTCTGATTTTGTGTTTAAAATAAATAGACTAATTTAGTAGAAACTAAAAGTTTGGGGTAGAAAAATAGAATCTGTAGCAATTCTAAATAGTTGAACTAAAATTATTTAATGCTGAGTATTTGATTTTAATTATATAGTTAAACATTTAAATTGAGTCAAAGAAGATGATTTCAATCAATTTTCCATTTTTTTTTACGACCTACCAACAAAACCAAGGTAATAGTTGCGAGTAGGTGAGTCACAACCAAAGCCCCTTAGGTCCTATTTAGCATAGCAATGAAATTCACTGTAGAGAAAATAAAAACAGTGGTGATATTGAGATTGATCATCCAACGATGATTATGAGAGTTGATGGATAAGATTCAAACTAGTGATGGAGCAACTTCGTCAAAAACATTTATGGCAGTGAAATGAAAGAAAAAAAATATCATTAAAGACTTTAAAGTTTTTTAATAAAAATAATAACATAATTATTTATATATTAATTAATAAAAATAATTAATAGTTACAAGTTATTAAAGAACAATTATTTTATATGTAAAAAATTTTCTATGAGAATTATTACATACTTTTTCTGTTTCATTTTCTTTATCCATATTTTCTTTTTGTAATATCTTAAAATTATATTCTATTTTTAAAATATTTAAAATATTTCCTTTTTTATATTTAAAATTTACTTTTTTACTTTTTAATATTAAAAATCATGAAACTTTAATTTTATAAAAAAATTTATTTTAATATTAGATACATTAAAATCAAATTTCTTTTTTTAAATTTTCAGGAAATTCAATACCATAAAGCAATTTGGGATGGAGGGAATATTTATGAATTTATATAAGAATTTACTTTATTTTTACTTTTTCACTATTAATTATTACAAGTTATTTAAATAAGGATTGGTTTTGGTATTTCTTGGACTTCTTAATATCAAGTAGCACCAAATTTTAGTGTGAATTTTGTTTCGCACCTTCAAAATGAATTCTTGAATGATTATGCCATTAATTTTTTTTAAAATTTTTTATAAGGGTGAGTTGTTGGAGTCTAAAGGCCAAATAATGTGATTTTTTTAGTAAAAAAAATACAGTTTGAAAATAAAAAATGTATAAATATTAAAGTTTGAATTTGATTTATTAAACTTAATCTCATAAAATAATTGCATAAAAGAAAATCAAATGAATTAAATTTAAAATTTTAAAAATCCATTGTTAGTCATCCACAATAATTCAATTAGAATATAAAAATATAATTAAATCTATGGGCCTTGTCACTCTGTGTGGTTAATATAATTTATATGCCATTAAACAACTTTTACTATCAAATTAATATGTTCTAAGTAAAAGTGTTTTTCTTTCTTTTTTTTTTTTTTCTTTTTAATCAAGTAGCATAAAACGTAGAGAATATCGGTATTCTTGGTGTGCCAACTGTCAAGGACTGCTTAAGGAAGAGGTGAAGAAGCTACTCACAATTAAAGAAGGTCAATTCATAGCAATTATATTGTCAACACACGTTCTTCCATTTTTCAAGAAAACACAGTCTAAGCTGTTTTCCATCCATGATTTTTCTCATGATGTTACATGCCTTAGTTTTCTTATATACCCTTTAAATATATTGTATTAGAATGGGGTTGTCACACTTCAGGTAATCCACAATCAGCTGCAGTGTGATTATTTTATTTTATATAAAAAATAACAGTATAAAAATAAAAAATTATAAATATTAAATATTAAATTTATTAGTTATTTTTTAAAAAAATAATAATATATTTTAGATTCAATTGTCTTCTGCATTTTAGAATATAAACTACAATTGGCCTACCTCCTAAATTTCACCAATTTTTAATTGGATGACCATATGTAATTAATTGATTATAAATTAATTCAGTTGACAGAAACTTTTCTTTTGATTCTATAAATAAAACTGATAGAAGTACATTTTGGTTATATTATTTTAATGAAATTGTTACAACTGGAGGTATATGTAAATATAAATTAAGTGTATAAATGTCAATAAAATTAACACAAGTGATTAAAATTTAAATTTTGAACTTAAAATATTCAGATTTAAATTTTCATAATTTTTTATAAATAGATAATTAATAAATTCAAAATTTTTTTAAAAATTTATAAGTCTCTTTACGATTTAACAACTTATCATGATGTTAAAAATAAAATAACTTTCTCTATTCTTAAATTTTTTTTCAATCAAAAAAATTAACTGCATAAATTCAAAATATAAACAATGATTTTTTTATAAACAAAGTTGTAGTTTGAAATAAAAAATATTATAAGTATTATTTTTTAAAAATAATTTTATAAATTAATTAAATTAAATTTTAAATTAATATTTTCGTTTAAAAATAACTTTTTACATCATTACTTACATCAGATATTTAAATAATTGATTCTCTCTTATTTTCACAGCTATATGTCATTATAAACGAGTGGTTCAAGGAGCTCGAAAATACCTTTTTCTTTCTGACTAATCTTTTTGCCATAATATTTTCAAACTAATTTGTTGAAACTTTATTAAAACTTTTTATTAATTTGCAAAGACCGCAGTCCAAGTCTTTGAACGATAAACTTGTCCGTACTTTCTTTGCTTTGACTCTTTCTTTCCTTAGCTCTTCTTTTTTCTACCTTCTCCATCCAAATCCTCCATAAACCAAAGCCTTTACTCATTCTTCCGTAGTTCACCATTTTCCCTTCGTTCGACCTACTCTCATTAGCAATTGTAAGAAAAAATTTCTCTTAAGTCTCTTGAAACTGTAATTGCTTCTCTCTTTTTCTAGCTTCATGTATGTTTTATTTTTTTGTTTTACAATTTATTTTAAAATAATATATATTTTTCTAGGTATAATAGTAAAACTTGCTTGAAAGCATGTGATACTTTCCATTTACATGGTAATTGCTAGTTATTAATTTTTTTTTTTGTTATTTAATTGATACCTTTCTATGGTGCGTTGGAATTTTTCTAGTTAGCAACGTTTCTTATTTACAGTTTTCTTTATCAACTTAGTAGAAATTGGGTATCATATCATGGTTGAAAGTTTTGCTTGAAGAAGAGGTTTAATTTCTTTAAAGTTCTTAATGTTGCAAAATTTTCTAAAAATGTTTTAAAGAGGTGTTCTGCTTTTGTTGAAGTGAATAAAATATTAAAATGGAAATCATATGTTTGTAAAAAGATTTAAAATTGATAATCAATTAGGTGACTCTAACTCATTAGAATTGATATGTGAGCTAAAAGAACAATAGCACCTGCAATGACATAGCAGAGGAGGAGAGAGAGGAGAAGGGAGCGATCTGGTCTCACGTCTCATGGCTTCGCCCACTGTATGTCTACAAAGCATGGACGTGCGGCTACTCTTTTTGTATCGATGTTGTATTCGTGTTTGACACGAACACATTGTCAACACAGTAAAATACATACATACCAAGCTAGGACACGATAAAAAAAAAAAAAAATTTAGTTGCACACCATCTTGACAGGTTTTTTTTAGATTTAGCTTTTTTTTTTTTGAAAATCTTGTTAGATAAGAAGAAAAAAGAAGGTTAGATGCATTTACCGATAGTTTTTGAATAATTTTTCAATATCGATGGGCAATAGCCGATAGTGGTTATGATGACAAAGCGGTTGTCAAAAACTGGTAGGAGCTAGGGAAAGAAAATAGGAAAATAAAAAAAGCAAAAAAAAAAAAAAAAGAAATGCAAAAAAGAATGGGAAGAAAAGAAAAAGAAAAATAAGGGATAGTGTGGGTCTCTCATGGGAGGGGTAGGCATGTTTTAGTAGACCAAACATGATTTTTGGCTTTTTGTTTTTATACACCAAAAAGTAAAAAAAAAAAAAAAACCAAGCAAAAAAAAGAAATTAGAAAGTAATTTTTTGAGTTATATTGTTATTTCATCATTTTGAAATAATTAATATCTTGTATGTATTTAAAAATAATTTTTTTCTTATATAATTAAGAATTTTTATATATTAGAAAATATAATTTTAAATTGAAAAATAATGAAACATTTAAAAATTGATATTTACATATATATTGAGTATTTTAATGTAAAAATATATAAAAGAATTATTATTATTGTGTTTTATCATATTCATGTCTTTTTTTTTTTTTTAAATTATTCTGCCATCTTATTCGTGTTTGTGTGGTATCTCATCCTTATTGCATGTTTGTGTTCCTGTTTTAAACTGTATAATATGTCATAATACTGAAGTTGTTGCCCATTATAGGGAAAGAAAAAAAAACTAAACAATAGACAATATGCCAAAAGAGAAATCGATTATACTTTATTTTAGTATATTAATCCTTATACCTATTTACTTATAAAAATTTTGAAGTCAATAAATCTTGCAATGAAGCATGAGAGCAAATGAATTAGCAACAATAAAACTTGGTTTCCTTATAACAATAAATTTTATTTGATTTTTAATACTTATAAATTTATTTTTGAATATATATTTCATTCATATTGGCTTTGTTGTCCATTTGCATGGTACTTCCATATTGTTAACGTAAGTAGGTCTAGTTATTTTTTTATTTTGTAATACTTGTTGAACATATATTTTGCTTCATGCTTTGAATACCTATCTCTGACTATTATGTTTCAATTTCTAGTTTATATTAGGTATTATTACAACCAGAAGAAGAGTCGTTGGCAACACAATCTTTTGAGTTTTTGAACTTAACTCTGAAAGAGTTTTAGGGTTCATTATAGCAGGAGATTTAGGAGTTAACGGCAGAATTTCTTTTATGTGAGAAGCTTTTTTCCTCCTCATCAAGTTCTTGTTACTGTTTTATTTTGTAATGCTTGCTGAACGTATATTTTGCTTTACGCTTTGAATACTTATCTCTGATTATTATGTTTAAATTTTTAGTATACATCAAGTATCATTGCTACCAGAAGAGGAGCTATTGGAATACAATCTTCTAAGTTTTTGAACTTAACTCGTGCAGCAAGAAATTTAGGAGTTGACGGCAAAATTTCTTTTGTTTGAAAAGCTATTTTTCCTCTTCATCAGGTTCTTCTTCTCTCTTTCTTTTTGGTTCTTCTCGATTTAAATTGAAGAATTTTATTTTAGTTTGCTATATGTTTTTATTTAGAATTCACAATGAGCCAATTACGGAAAGGTTAGATTTGCGAGATAGAAGAAATTAAAATCATTTTGTTGACATTAATATTTGAGTCATGGAATTGATGATTAGTTTAGCCCCTTACATCTTTTTAAGGTTGGAGAACTAGCTTACTAAGAGAGTGACCTTTAAGGAGAAGAGTATTTATGAGGTTATTATAAAAATTGATGCTAACCTTATTAACACCTCCAAATCTTTTCACTTTGGATAAATTAATTTTGAGACTAAAAAATCTGCATGAGAATCATATCAAACACATTTATTTTGAAGAAAAAAAATACTCACTAGATAAAATTTTTACCCATAAAATGGAGAAACGATAACTATTGACCCCATTCATGAGATCCAAATCTTCTTGCTTCAAAATCATTAAAGATCAGAATAATCACTTTTTCCATCTATATTGAGAAATTCTCTTTTTTATTAGTAAGCAATATTATAATTATTAAACCAATGATGATTATATCTGTAATAACATGTGAATTTGTGAATTTAATCACAAATATCAATAAAGTAATTATCAAGAATTTTTTTATTAGGTATGATTGATTACTTAAATAAATCTATTCTTTTAAAATGATTTTAAGTTTGACTAAGGGATCTTAAAAGAATAGGTTTTGGTTTACATTATAGAATTAAGTTTATAGGGATGGTGTTAACATTCTCATAGTGACCATTAAAGAATGATATTAATTAATCTTATATTATGTTTAATAGCCTTAATTAAATTGGTCTTTATTCTTAATATTTCTCATTACTTTATTTATTATTTAAATATAAAAATTTTTCTTATATTTTCTCCAACATTTTGATCGAACCTCTAAATAATTTTTTCACTTCAATAGTTTTCAAGAAAATACGTCCGTTTCTTTCAAAAGGCTTCATCATTATAGTAATTAAATATTTTACAAAATAATTCATTTTTATTTTTAAAACATTTTAAATTAATTTTAATATTTTTCCGTTAATTTTGTTATTTTGGAAATAAAGTGGAAATCTTTGATATTCTAATGTTTTAAATTGTTTAGTCACATAAAAAATTTTAAGAAATAAAAAATTTTTAAAAAATTTCACGCTCAGAAATTTCTTAAAATTTCATAATCAGGCAAATTCCCCACTTATTCCAAAATTTATTAAGCATTATGGGATAAAGTACATTTACAATTATCTATTACATTCTTAACTCTTCTATCCCTTTTTTATTTTATCAATTAATTTTCTATCAATTAAAATTTTTTTATTTTTAGAAATAAATTAAAATTCTTTTGTTGATTACTTTTCTATCAATTTAATATTCGTAATATTAAAATTCTAAATTCGTAATAGAAATAAATGATTTTTATTTATACCTAATCTATATGACAAGATTTTACAACACATTCTAGATATGAGTTTACATTGCAAAAATTGTCACCGCCTTTAACAAGAAAATAAGTCCTAATTATAACTAAATGGTATACATTACGCATGCCTAAGACTACATAATATTTGATCATAAAGGATATGTCACTTGCACATAATTTAATAAGAGCTCTATGATGTCTAAAGATTTTAGGAATTATACCTTAGAAGATTGTCCTAATACAAAGTCCAATAGGGCAACTAGAGGTCTGGGCTTGTGAATTGGGTTTAGTGTAGCTATGTTTCATCTTGACTAGGTTAAGATCGAGCTTTAGCTAGATTAAGCCTTTTGAAAGAATTTTAGTCTAACATGGACTTTTCGAACAAAATTTTGGTGTTGGGACTCTTTAGAGCGTTTTGGTGAAATAGTAACTTTTAAGGTTGAGTTTTGGTTGGATTAAGATCTTTGAGTACAGTTTTGATTTGATTGGGCTTTTTGGACAAAGTTTTGGTTGGACTTTGACCATTTAGACAGAGTTTTGGTTGGATTTGGAAAGATGATATGGTTGAGATGATGTGGTCGGATGATATGCCTAGTGATGTGGGAAGTGATGTGAATTTAGGTGAGAAGGCAAGGTGATGTGGTGAGTGATAGTAGGGTATGCTTATTGACTGACTATGACAGATTAGGTTTTTCAAGGTTTTCACAAAAAGTTAGACGGAGGTTTGTAATAAGTTGGAAGTTTTGATCGCGGTTTTAGGCTACTCCGGTGGCTATGGACTCATAAGAAAAGTGTTTTGGAGGTTCGAAATGGGAGAGATGATGAGATTTCCTCTAAAATTTAAGAAAAAATTTGAAGAAGGTTTAGAATTGACTTTCTTAAAGAGGGACAAGAGAATTACTTGAGGTGTGTTGAATGAAGATTTGAAGGACTTAGGCTTAGAATTCATTTGGGAAATAAATTATGCAGGAATTTATATTCAAACAATTGCAAACAAAATTAAGAGAACTAAAGATTTATTGCCTATAACATTAAAATGCAAACTTTAAAAAATATGGAATGTTCCTACAAATTGAAAGTTTGAGAGGATAATCCACACCCTCAAATTTCATAATGGAAATTTAATCTACATCAGGGCAAATTTCCTTTGTTTTATAAGTTCCCTGAGTGAAGGCGCAACTATTAATAGGTGCTTTAATCTTTTCTTTCAATTGGTTGTTTCTAATGTGATAATTGCATTTGTTATTTGGCTCATACTTATTGATGGATTTAGAGTTATTTTCAAAGGTACAACGTAAGGTATTGAAGTTTTACTAGTAAAGGCAAAAGATTAGGAATTGGAATTGAAAATTTTTCTTGAATGTTTCTTTGTCATCTTCAGTTACTCACTGATTGGATAATAGATTAAGAGATAAGAGTAAGTGTAATTATTTGAAAGCAAGGGTTTACTTGAAAGGTTAATTGTGGGATTGGTTGATAAAGATAAAGACTTTTGAAAGATGTTATATATGGTTTGATGGTAAAATTGGTTTATCTGATAAGAATGGTGTAGAGTAACAACCTACTACCCGTTGCCCTTCACAAATCATTGATTGAGCATCTCTTTCTTTTTAGATGCAACACCTTTTTTTGCCTCATCTCTTTCAAGTTTTTCACTCTTAATTGTATTTTCTATTATCTCTTTAGAAATTACTATTTCATTAGAATTAGTTTATATTATCTTTAATAGCCTGAGTTAAAATAATATCTATAATTAACATTTTTCATTACTTTTTTCTTATTATTTTATTATTTAAATATTAAAAATTTTTCTTAGATTTTTTTTAACACCTTGGTTGAATCCCTAAAAAAGTTTTTCATCATAAGAGTATTCAAAAAACATTCTTGTTTTTTTAAAGAAGTTTTGGCATTGGATTAATTAAATATTTTTAGAAATAATTTTGAAAAAAAATTTGAGTCATGGAATTGATGATCATTATAATCCCTTATATCCTTTTAAGGTTGGAGAACTAGACTACTGAAGAGTGACCTTTAAGGAGAAAAATATTTATGGCTTTCAAATCTTTTCACTCTGGATAAGTTAATTTTAAGATTGAAAAATCAGTATGAGAATCATAACAAACACATTGATTTTGAAGAAATAAAACTCATTGGATAGAATTTTTACCCATGAAATGGAGAAATGATAACTATTGACCTCAATGTGATTCATGAGATCCAAATTTTCTTATTTCAAAATCATTAAAGATCGGAATAATACCATCTCTTGTATCAATAAATTCTATTTTCTATTAGTAATCAATATTATATTTATTAAAGAAATGATGATTATATCTTTTATAACATGCGAATCTATGAATTTGACCACTAAATATCAATAAAGTAATTATCACAAATTTTTTACTTAGGTGTGATTGGTTACTTAAATAAATTTATCCTTTTAGAATAGTTTTAAGCTTGATTAAATGACTTTAAAAGAACAGATTTTTGGTTTATGTTGCAGAACTAAGTTTATAGGGATGGTATTAACATTCTCACAATGAACATTCAAATGATGATATCAATTAATCTTATATTATCTTTAATAGACTTAATGAAAATGATCTCTATTCTTAATATTTTTCATTTTTTATTGTTTAAAAATAAAAATTTTTACTAGGTTTTCTCCAACACTTTAGTCGAACATCTAAATAATTTTTTCACTTCAATAGTTTTAAAAAAAATACGTCCGTTTTTTTTTTCAAGAGGTTTCGTCATTAGATTAATTAAATATTTTATAAAAAATAATTCATTTTTAAAAATATTTTAAATTAATTTTAACTATTTCTTTTAATTTTATTGTCTTGAAAATAGAGTGGAAACCTTTTATTTTCTAATTTGTTTTTAACTTGATTAATGTTGTGGTAGAATCTAAAGAAGTTTACTCACATAGAAAATTTTAAGAAAATTTCATGCTCATAAATTTCTTAAAATTCCATAATCGGTCAAATTTGCCATTTATTCCAAAATTTATTAAACATTATGTGATAAAATACATTTACAATTATCTATTACATTCTTGACTCTTTTATCCTTTTTTATTTTATCAATTAATTTTCTATCAATTTAATTTTTGTCATATTTATTTTTAGAAATAAATGAAAATTCTTTTGTTGATTACTTTTCTATCAAATTAATTTTTGCATTTTTATTTTTAGAAAGAAATGAAAATTCGTAATATTGAAATAATTTTCTAAATTCTCCAATACTTTGGTAAAATTTAGAGAAGTTCTCACTTAAAAATATTTTAGAAAATTGCTCACCTTTGAATTTCTTAAAATTTCATCATTAAATTAAATGATGTGTCTACAATTACTAGTTTTATTTTTTTACCACAAGAGTATGCGAAAAAAAAAAAAAAACATTATTGTTTTCTTAAAGTAGTTTCATCATTGAATTAATTAAATATTTTTAGAAATAATTATTTTATCATTTTAAAAATATTTTAAATTAATTGTAATATTTTTCTCTTTTATTTTGTTATTTTAGAAATAAAATATTATTTT